CAGATCATCATTAGAAAAAGTGACATACTCCACAAACTTCCTGTTCAGGAGAAACCAGTCCGACCCTCCATCGACTGCGATTCCTTCTGGGATCCTCCGGTCCCCCAGGCGCCACATGTGGGTATCGCATTCCAGGAAAAGCCGATCCAGTCCTTGTTTTCTGATAAATCTGAGGGAATACAAAAGCAGTCATTAAAAGTTAATTTATATTTTGTTATCGTCACTAGCTCTATAAATAAAGAAGCTACTTTCTCAAACAAAAAAGGATAAAAAGGTCACTTGTTTATATTTCTGTTCTACTCATAAATAATGTTGAGACATTTAAAAAATGATTAATCAGTTACACGTTCAGTTATCAGGGCAAAGATCAATAGATTGCTTTTAAACTTCATTTACACCTTCTGCTGTCCTAAGACAGAACTGTGCAAGTTACAGAGTGGTGCAGCATGAAAATCCATAATGTGCATTAACTCTTAACAAACCACTGCAGAAGAATCATAACATGAACAGGAACTAAACACAAGTTGTGTGATAGGCTTCTATCTCTAAATAAATGCACAGCTTTTGAAAAACAGCAAACCGTACACAAAGATAAAATAACCAACTTTCTCCTATGATATTGTTCCATGAATTTTTCTATTCGGGTATAGTTAATTATGAAGAAATATAATTGCATTGCTCTTTGCTGTAGAATGAGTATGTTTGCTCCATTTTCAAGTCTATAGGGAACATTATTTTGTTATTGCTGAACCATGAATAAGAGGAGCAACTACAGAACTGTAGAGTTATGGAAATTAATTATTTGAGACCAATGTAAGAAGAAAAAAAAAAGAGTTGGAAATCAATCTATGTTTGAAAATACTTTGGACTAGATGCCCACACATGTTTTGAGACTGTCTGATCCAGGTTTCTATTTGTTATTCCATTTTCAGAGTTATTTCCCAGAAAGGGAAGCAGAGCAGCCATGAATTGGCACACACCTTTGCAAAGGGGGTGGAGCGCTGTTAATAATGGTGAGTTGCTGTGTTGAATACATCCCACATGTTCTGAGCAATAATAAATACCAGCTAACCAGACTGTTATAGTAACTCACATCCACAAGACCACAGATCTCACTGGATGTAAGGACTGCAGGCTAACAAGAGCTGTGGCACCTACAGCGAGGAGGACACGGTAAGACCTGTGTTTCCTTCCTGAACAACACAGAGCTACACCAGGGTTCTTACACATGTTTTAGGATTAGGAAGTCAAGAAGACATTTTAGTGGTCCTCAGACACATGCAACGGAAGGAAGGGGAAAAGAAATAAAAGTTAAGGAACACCACCAAAGCTTTCTGGATTCCTGCATCTGGAAACTTGAGTGTTAACCCCATAGGCTAACTCCCTGGTTAAAGGTTTGTTCTATACCAATCAAAGAACTGAGATGCAATTATGAAATGGTGCATATTAATTTTCAAAAGGACCGTAAATGACTTCAGGGTCTGTGCCCTACTGATAGCTACGTCTCTTTTCACAGTATGAGAAGAAGAGCTCCTCTGTTAACACAACAGTGCAGAAAATGCGTAGATGAGAGTGGAGAAATTTTTCTTTCCATGAACAAGTTTCTAATTTCATGTTCCATTATGAAGGATAATAGAAAAGTCTTGCAATTTTAATGCAGTGCTCTGGAATGTAATCTTCAAATTCAATATTTATGCAGTTATCTCCAAATCAAATATTAATGTCCCTGAAAGTTTGGTCATTTATTTATTTCCCTCAAAACTAAATGCTCATTTGAGTTAATTATTTTAAGAAAATAATAGAATTTTATTGACCATATTTAAATAGGAACATAAAGTTCTTTTCCATGAAATAATTTCTTTCAACTGCTATCTCTACCAATTTATCACCTTATTCTGGTTTTCAAATAGAAGTTTCTTTTACTGCAATAGGAACCCCCAAACGAAAAAACCCACCTGACCATTTCAAAAACCCCTCTACTTACAAACTCCCTCAAGCTATATTACATGCTAGGACTTACAGTTAACTAATACCAGAAAGCTCAGTTTTACAGCTTCAGCCTTATTGTCTGAAATTGGCAATAGAAGAGTACGGCCACACTGAAGATGAGAAGGCCCCAGCAATCCTAGGCTCACAGCTTCACGCTTTCCAGAATAGCTGACAGGCTCCTTTTTTTGCATGTGTACACAGTTCTATGATTTTTTTGATCTAATGGCTTGGACAAGCAAATCTCGGCATACAGAGTGAACTAAGACCATTCTTGGGAGCACGAGTGTTTTCACAACAAATCTCAGTCCCCAAATCGTATACAACAAGGTTATTAGAAGAAAACTAAACATACTTTCCAACGATTCATCCTCCAGCAAGGCAGCATAGCCCAACTGAAGAGCAGCAATGCCTTTGGAGACTTGCAAAGAGATGACCCTTTGCTAACGCTTCTTGAAACCTTCCTAGAAACATCATATGAGGTTTTAAATACCAGTAACAACCGAATAGGAAGCAGGCATTTCTCAGAAGGCTCACCCTTACTGGGCCTGCTTCACACACAGTCATTACACCTGAACAGAATAATGCATTGGCGTAGCAAATAATTTCTTTTTATCTGTGAAGCAATAATTTATACAAGGGACTCTGAAGACACAGCTCCTTGTTAGGCAATTGCTTGCTATCCATTTATGTTCCTTGGGAGCCAAAGGGACCAAGCATATTTTAGATCTGCTAGAAGCTAAATGATCCTGCCTGAGGAGGCAGCGGGTCGCCCTAGCAAGCCTGTGCTATACTGCTGGCACACAGAGCTGAACTGCAACCAAAGTGGAAAACGTGGATGAGGCTTTTTTCCCCTCCAGACTCTCTTCTAGGATGACTGATGCTCCTAGCTACTCCAGCAATAGTGATTTTGGCACTCAAGAAGGCAAGAACTCTAAGCATATTGGATATTGCCTGAGGGAAAGGGAAAGGTGCTATTTGTATGCCACATAGGCCTTTTCAAGAAATCAAAAGCCCTTAAACACTACAAACAGTTAATAAAGATTCTTGACTAGCCTTCCAACAATGCTTGCAGCAGCCATCTCTGAAAAGAAAGATAAGAAGATGGAGGGCAAAAGCATGACCCTACTGATTTGTTTCTAGTCTAATGCTGTATTTCATTGGTTTCTGGTTATGCTCAATGTAATACCAAAACAGTGCATTTTATGAAGGCATGCCAAGCTTCAGAGAGAGCAATGAAATGCAAAAAGTGCTGATTTTTTTCCCTCAAGTCTTTCTCTCCTGGGTTTTATAGGACACCTAGCAGATAACTCCCAAACTGAAGTAGAAAATATGGGTTAATAATAGCGTTTAATTACTCTTAGTTAAAGTGCAAAAATTCAGGTGTTTTCTGGCACCCTGAACTTCAGGTAAGACCAGCACAGCTCTGACAACTACCAATGTACTTGCCAGGACAATGACATACAATTGCATCACAGTATGGTTAGACAAATACAATGGAGATTGCCATCAGATGAAGACACTTGACCTTTCTCTTGATCTAAGACAAACAACAGGAGGAAAATAACAATGATAAAAGAGAGTCAACCAGGAAAAAATAAAATTAAAATAAGACCAGGGTGAAGAAAAACCATGTCATTTTACCTTATTTCATAGAACACGCCATCTAAGACGTTTTATGCTTACCCTTAATCAATCTGAACTCTTTCTAAAGAGCCTCCAATTTTGAGGAGCCTGGATTACACTTGCAAGTAAGCAGCAAGCATAGCACAATACAAATGCATCTTGCCAGCTGAGCTCAGCAATCAGGTAACTACACATGTGAAAGGTGCCGTTTGCGCCCTGACTACGCATGGATGCAGCCTCAGGGCTTACACAGTTCAGGATGGTTATTTTTATACTTTTTTAAAAAAAAACCTACTGCCTGCAGCACGTGGTCTATCACACTGATAGTTAACTGTCCAGACAGCTCATGATTACAATCCAGCTTAGGGAACTCCTCTTACTTTGTAGTGTATTTAAATATTTATAAATGCATTTCAGATGAGGCTCTAGCATTGTACAACACATAAAGCATTTGTAAGATGTTTAGTGCACACTCCTACAACACGAATATAAACACGTAGCTCAGCTTTTCTTATGATATGTTTTAACTACTCATAGATATTGTTGCACAGTTACTTAATATCAGCAAAAATATCACAATCAAATATCACCCTTTTGGATAGCTTTCTCCAAGCAACACTGCATACCACATCAACTCTGAGTGACCCCCGGTCCTGAATGCTTGCACTTATGCAGTACATAAGACAGAGAGTTTGCTGTTTTCTGTTTTTTGAAGTCTGTGAATGAATACAACTTTCTTAAGCATCAGAGGCTATCAGATTGCTAAATGTTACTTATCAGTAACCTTGCCACTAAAAGGTTTTTGTCTGGAAAGAATGTATTTTTTAAGGTGAAAAGGTTTCTTCCTAAATGTTTCCTGTTTCTGGCCTGTTGTCTAGAAAACTTCCCATTGACATTTCACTGTTAACCAGGTGAACCTACCAGGACCTCATCATCATTACTCACTGTACAAGAATACAAACTATGAATAAATGTTAACAATACATCAGCAAAACAATTACAAGTCAAAAGTCAATGTCAAAGCAAGGATCTGCAGAGCTTGGAGCTCCACTAGCACCACGTCTGTGTTCTCCTTAATGTTCTCCTTTATGTGGACAAACTCTGCACATTGCTCAGACTCTGTCTGCTCCTCTTCTAACTCCCTTTAGACAAAAATTTGAAGAAGTCAGCCAATTTTGGTGGGAAAAGTCAAGTAAATATTTTTACGGATGAGAAATATGAGAGGCTCTTGCCAGCAGTGTTTGCACAGCCACCTGGGAAACACTTACCAGAGTCAATCAGTCGGTAAGCATAAAACAATAACTTGCAATTTAGGTGACCAAGTAGAAAGCACAGAACAGTAATTTGACAATCTTGAGTTCAACAGTTGCAACAAGTAATTTGTGAGCAATCTCTAGGCTACAATATATCTCCATAAAACAGTCACTGAATAATTCTCTGTAATAAGCAAGTTCATAAAATCCAAACCTGCACAGAGCAGTTTCATTCCCTGCCTGTTGCAGACCAGAAATCCTGGCCTCCATTGAGTATGTGATGAATTTCCAGTTGACTGCGACA